TGTCCTGGGCACTATGTGATAAGCGGGACTTTCAGCCCCGCTTATACCCAACTGCCCAGGAAATAACTATTACTAACATCTCGAAATAGTAGCGGGCGTGGGTTTAAGACGTGCTTAATATCTATATAAAGTGATTAATGTTTTTATATTTCCTGCACCTTATACTATGTACGTACGTACGCAAATGCAATTTAATATCAAAGGAAAGAGGTTACGGTGCTAAACTAATCTATTCTCATCATTATAACAGATTGGATATTAGGTCTCAGTTAAACCCTAGTATTATAATTAGTACCGGACACTAGAACATTAATAAATATGCAATAGAATAATAGAATCTTATGAAAATAAAAATTCCTTTTTAAAATTATCATTATTATTATATTAAGAGTTACTGAATTCGAATTTTCATATTATAATTGTGTTTTATTGACCTATACGAGCGCATTGACCTGGAAATAAAGTAAAAAAATACCAATATTATTTGACATAATTAATTTATAAGGACCACTTCTAAATTAGTTCTATCGTATAATTTTTTTTTTCAAACTTGCAGCTAAAAATGTTGGGGTCAATGAACAATTTATTAAATATGCATTAAATCGAATCAATAAATAATACGTTTTTAATTTACCAGAATTATTCAAAATGACACCATTCACGCGGAATGATAAATTCGATCTTTTAAATGTGGAAAAAATGGACTTAGTGTTAGTGTTAAAGTAAATTATGCAGGTGAGAACATACAACATTGTCACATGTATTTTTATGAGTGCATAATAAAGAATTTCGTATAAAAATAATAAATTAAATTTGCATAATTTATTACTTTGATAAATTTTGTACGAATGATCCAATTCCGTTACAGTGCAAATTTTTTTATTTTGAAATTGATATCAAAAAAATGGGTATGATATAGTAAAGCGTCTGGTGATTTTTAATAAGATTCGTTGCTTATTAATATCTTAAATCATTTCGAAGAATTATTGCAATTGGATTTTGCGCAAAATCAACTGAACCAGATATGTTACCCGGCAATTCGGCAGAATTAAATAAGTTACCCAGTAATTCTGCTGAGCTAGATAAGTTATCGGATAATTCAACCGAACTAGATAATTTACCCGGTAATTACAAATACTAATATTATCAGCCAAAAATATGTTTATGAATACCTTTATCATTTGTTAAATATTCAAAGGGTGTGGTAAAAACTCATGGGGATATCATAGCGACGATGGATGTTTTTTTGATTGTTCAGAGATCGAAGAGCCATATGGACCTAAATTTAAAAGTGGCGATACTATCGGATGCTGTTTAAATTTTAGAAATAGCACTGTATTTTATGCCAAAAATGGAGTAAACCTAGGTAATTATTATTTAATTCCAAAGTATACACAAGTAATAAAGTTTAATGCCTTACATCATTTTTTAAGGAATTGCGTTTCGAGACTTAAATTTAAAGAATAACCTTTATTATCCTTGTGTTGGAATGAGTTCAAAAGGCGGGTCTATAAAGGCGAACTTTGGGCTTAAAAAGTTTAAATATACAGGTATATGTTTTATTGTTTACATGTTAGTTTTTTAAATTAATTTTAATATTACTTTCATGAATAGCAATGAATGATAATATTGTTTATGACAATCAATTGGAAGAAAAGTGGATTGAAAATCTTAAACAATGCAATAAAGACATGATTAAAGATTTTATGGGAAAACACGAAGAGGCGCTTGAAGATTTGACAAATTTGCTTAAAAATGAGCCAAACAATGTGTTCGCGTTAAGATATCGTGGAGAAACTTATTTTATTATGGGAAAATACGAAGAGGCGCTTACAGATTTAACAAAACTACTTGAAATTGAGCCAAATGATGCGTTTGCATTAAGATATTGTGAAGAAACTTATTTTATATTGAATAAATATGAAGAATTAAGTGCAGACTTAAAAAAACTATTAGACATATGCAAAGATGATGAATGGGCATTAAAAGCCAATAAAGAAGTTAAGAGGCGGTAGTTATAGAAATAATCATAAAAAATAATTAATGTATTTTATTATCAACAAGTTAGATTCCTCTATTGATTATTATTCTCTGCCCTGTATCTACACGTTAAATATAACAGTCGGTGAACGTAGAATTTAATCATAAACAACTAACGCATTTTATTGTCAACCCAATATATTCTCTGTTAATTATTCTTTCTCAACTCTGTTATCCACACCTTAAATTAACAGTCAGTAAGTGCAGAATTTAATAATCATAAAGTGTAATAAGCGTATTTATTATCGACAAGATAGGTCTTTATAAATTATCTCTTTTCTACTCGGTTATCTACATGTTAAATCATAGAATTTAATCATAAAAATAATCGACATACTGTATTAGTTGTCGACGAAATAGATTTCTCTATTAATTATTCCTTCTCTATTCTGTTATCTATACGTTAAATCAATAGGGAGTAAGTGTAGAAATTAAGAATAAAAACCATCAACGTATTCTTATTAATTATTCCTTCACTACTCTGCTATCTACACATTATACCAACAGAGAGTAAGTGTAGAGTTTCAAAAAATAATTACCATATTTTATTGTTAATTAAATGCTAAATATTTCTTTATTGTCTGCATATTAAATCAACAGAAAGTAAGTGTAGAATTTAACCATAAAAAATAATCAATGTATTTTAGTGTCAAATAATAAATTTCTCTACTAATTATTCCTTCTCTACTTCTGCTATCTACATGCTAAACCAACAGGGCGTAAGTGTAGAATTTGACTACAGAAATAATTCAATTGTTAATAAAATGGATTTCTTATTAATCACTCCTTTGTTATCAACACATTAAATCAATAGGGCGTAAGTGTAGAATTTAATAATTAAAGATAGCAACCAATTTTATTGCCAACAATTCCTTCTTAACTTTATTATTTGTTAATCACTTATACGTTAAATCAAACAGGGAGTAAGTATAGAATTTAATAATTCAAAATAATCATAAGCAATAATCAATGTATTTATTGTCAATGGGATAGATTTCTCAATTAATTATTCTTACTTTACTCTGTTATATACACGTTAAATTAACAGGGAGTAAGTGTAGAATTTAATAATAAGCAATAAAATACCGTATTTATTGTCAATAAAATAGATTTCATATTACTTTACTCTGTTATATACACGTTAAATTAACAGGATGTAAGTGTAGAATTAAATCATAAAAAATAATGTATTTATTTTCAGTAAGTTGTATCTTTATTAATTGCTATTTTATTATCTATACATCATGCTAGCCGGTGAGTACAGTATTAATATTGATATATAATTTATTTCATAAATATGTTTAAATGGCTAATGTCAAAATCAACCCATTTACAGAAAACCTGATTATGGAATATGTGGAGAGTGCAATCTGTATAATACGTTTTATGCTTGGTGTCAGAAATGTGATCCAATAAAAATTATTGAAGGATGGTCTGGAGATAAGGGTATTAAGGGATTTCTGAATGAAGCTAAAATGAATGATCATGCTATTGAATGGATCCCGTTTGATAAACTTAAAAATATTAAGCACATTGCTAAAGGTGGGTTTGGATCAGTATTTACAGCAACTTGGTCGGATGGCAAACGAATAACTGAATATAGAAATGGTTACTACGAAAAGTCACGTGAAAAAAATTATACAGTTGCACTTAAAACTTTGCCTGATTTTAAAGAAGTAAGTCAAAAATTTTTTATCATAATGTTTTGACAATTTATATTTGAAACAAATATATTAATGTAAGTTCATTTAATAAGTTTGAAAATCACATGGAGGTTAGATTAAAGGGTAGTGAATTAGAGATATATGGATTAACTAAATGTACAGAAAATAATGATCATCTTAAACTTAAGGCTGGTGATTACCTGATGATATATCAATATGCCAATAGTGGAAGCCTTAGCAAGTTTTTAGAAAAAAGTTTAAACAACTTAAATGGAAACAGAAATTATCACAACTTATTGATATAACAAATGATTTAGTAAAAATTCACAAAGCAGGATATACACATAGTGATTTTCATAGCGGAAATATTTTGATAAATGAAGTTAATTGAACAGTATTTTCATATATTGCGGATCTTGGATTATCCAAAAAAATCAAAGAAAACAACAAGATGGAGAACCTTGTGGAGTTCTGCCTTATGTTGCACCTGAAGTTTTACAAAGCGAAGAGTATACACAAGCAGCAGATATTTATGGACTAGGCGTTATTATGACAGAAATTTCATCCGGGCAGAGACCTTATGATGGTTATGATTTTGATGTAAAACTTTCAGTAAAAATTTGTAAAGGGTTACGACCAAAGTTTGGACAAGGAACTCCTAATTGTTACATTAGGTTAGCTGAAAAGTGTATGGATCAAGATCTGAAGAAACGACCCACTGCAAATGAAATTCTTGATCATTTAAGAGGTTATATTTCTAATAATAAAAGATCCGATAAATTAGGCATTAAAAATAAATTCTTGGAAGCCGATAAAATCATTAAAACATCTCTAGATATTAAACGAGAGCATCCAGATTCTATGTACACTAGTAAAATTATTAGAACAAATTTGCAAAGTGAAGGTATTAAAATGATTTAGACTATTTAGATGTGTTTTTTACATTGAATTAATTATACTAATCACGAAATTATTTTTAGACCAACCAAAATTTACTAGTGTTAGCCAACCTATGAATTACGTTGAAATTCCAGATGACTTTTAAATTTAATTTATAAAATTTTTTCTATCATAGGGTTATCCTTTTTAAGTTTATATGATGCGATTTTGATTTTTATCACATAGGCTAAAAAGCAAATTTTGGGTTGTCTTTTGCTAGGGCTATATTTACAGTATTTTATAATAGTATATGTTATTCATTTTTTATTACATATTAAAATATAAATTATTTCTGTTATTAGGCCTATTAGGCCATACACTTTAATTTTTGGGGTTTCATAACATGAAAGTTTAAATATGCCTGGCTGGCAGATTTTTTTTTTTTTTACATCTGTTTTCACAAATTCCGGGACACTTGGTAAATATTTACTAAATACCCCATGATCTTGATATAGTGATCGGGGTATTTTGCAAATAATTTTTCGGCAGATTCTATTAAATTTGGCATAATCGTATATAAAACCGCTTTTGTATCGCATGCAATACTTATTCTACAGAGCATTAGAAGTTAGAATACTCATTGAATTTTCGTTTGAATGCTTTACCAACATGTTTGATATGTTTAGTTTGTACAAAAATGGAAAGACGGCTTTTGTCAACCAATAAACTTAACAAGAGGATTATAAAATCTCTTAAACATATTATAAAAAAATGTGTGTACATACAGTGTCGGCACTGGGCATATGTCCAACTATTTTTATGCTATTGGACTGGACTGGACATTGGACAAGTGTGGTCCAATGTCCATGTTCAATGTCCAGCCAAACACTGTGTACATATATATTATTTTGTATATCCAAGTTGATTTGTCATATTGTTAAGACTAACAATGCGTTTTTTCTCTAATTGTTACTATAAAATACAAGTTATGTATTTTTTTATTGAATTTCTAAGATATCATACAAGTTTATTAAACACGGTTTTTCTAAAAACGACGCAGGTTTCAATATATCCGTAACTTTGAAGACCTAGCTTATAGAAGGTCTACTAATACCTAAGCGTTTAACAATTTTTCGAAACGATAAGATTTTAATTACTGTATTCGTCAACGAATATATTTCAAAAGAATCACATTTCTGTATTCAACCATAATTATATTTACATACTACTAAAGTTTTGTAATATTTATATTAGTCACTGGATCTTAAATTATATACAGTATACCAATTTGAATATACATATTATGCCGAAATATAAACTTAATCGAATCGGCCGAAAAATTATTCGGCTAATTTCATCAGGTGTCCCAGAATTTATGAAAACAGCTGGCTGCAATTAATTTTTCATGCCTTTATAATAGATTTTTTAGACTAAATTAATTACTATGCCAATGTCAATTAAAATTAGTCTAATGATGAAATTTTAATGGATATGATGTCTAAATATTTGAATATTGAATAGAATCATTAACAATCGATAATTTCACATAAAACAATATAGAAACACTAGGCAAATCAATGCCCAAGATTCTCCATCAAACACATCATAAACTGGTGTTACATGTTTATTATATAAAGGTATCTGAAATAATATGGTTAAACCATCCACAGTTCTACTGCCACATAGGTTTAACCATAGGGTCTCCAAGCTCATCCATATATTTGTAGAATAATTAATAGAAAAAAAATGCAACGACAAAATTTTTCGTAAAATTGTCAACTTCTTTTTTAATTGGAAGAGTTTAATAGAAATAATTCTATCTAGTAATCAAGAATAATAAATTAACTGAACAGATCAAAGATAATGAAATTAGTAAAGGGATTGTTTAACCCGATGGTTAAAGTTGGTCGAAAGAAATTGTTCAATACCCTCAAATAGGATCTATTATTTGTAATCGATTAAATTCGGTTTTTTTTTATTTATAATCAATTATATACTGTAATAATTATATAGGAGCAAATATATGTAAATAATACGTTTATTTAAGTTTGACTTTAAAAATTTTTTCGTGTTTTTTTTTTGGTTTGCTAATGAATTTATATAATGACCTCTCTAAATGCATGCTTAAGTTCTGGCCAAAATATATACATGCCACCTATAAATGCACTTTCTCTTATTGTTCTCTAAGTGCACGTTGTTAAAGCTTAGTCCCAAGAGCGTGCACTTATAGAGGTTTTACTGTATTTATATTGTCATAGCCGGGCTGGTAGAATTAACGTTTAACATTATCATAAACTAAAGATTTCTCTAAAATATCTATGTTTACGTACGTACGTACGCTCGTACTTAACAATAGCTACGTGCCCGAGATTTTTTTATTTAACCGTCAACAAGACATGACAAAAATCCCAATGATACCGGTACGAGTTTAATAAAACGGATGACAACACTTTCACATCTATCCAGTTACCTAGAGCAAAGATCTATAAAACAACGAGCAGCAGTACTAGTAATAAACTCAACAAACGATGATATGTATCCAATTTAGGCATTAATGGCATTCGCCATCTGCAGAACAGATTCAACATATGCCTCAAGGCATGACATGACATACTATTCATTAGAGCCGATGGTAAAAACACTGGTTTATCGATAACTTGAAAGGCATGCTACCCAGAACAAATGTTGCAGAGGATAGCTTACGAACAGGAGGCACAACTGAATTAGTGCTGCAAGGCGTACAGCTAACACTTATTCAAAAGGCCTGCGGATGTTCATCGGACGCTTTCTATAGATATACACGAAACAATTGCAGCTATCCTGACAAAAGCATACTCCGAATTCTGACTAATGTTACGAAAATTTTGTGTTTAAATTTTCTGTTATATTTCTACAGTCAGGCCTTATTATAGTCACTCTTGATATAATCACGCTATTTTTAACTTGAGCTATTAAAATTTAACCTTTATATAGTCACAACTTTTTATAATCACCAGATTTTTATTTCCCAAGTGATTGTATCGAGGTTTGACTGAACATTGTATTAGTATTCCTTACTATATTTGTTAGATTATTGTTATGGAAAGGCTGTGCGGGTTAGAACCACAGATATTGTGTCGAGACCATAGATCTTGGTTTATGACCATGGATCTTGGTTCGAGGCCATAGATCTTCCAGATCACGGCCATTTTGCAACGTATAAATATGACGCCTAAACTATAAAGAGAAGAGAGGTTTGTTCGATGTATAATAAATAACGTATTTTGATCTTACCTATCAACTAAAAACATTCCTTAATAACCCGCTATCATTAAATCTGAATCCTTTATAAACATTCATCTCGCATAACCTATGCTTATAACCATGAGATAATTTGACCCCATGTTAGCCAAGTCACTCCCACGGTTATAAAACCAATTTGGAACTGATCGCTAGTCAGAACTTAAAAAAAAAAATATATCCACCATAACAGTATAAGTAGATAAACAAACATGGCGAAAAAAAAGGAAGTAGCAAATGATTCTGAAAATGGCATAAATCACTCATGTAGAACCTGCAATTTTATAATTATAACCGCTGGATACGTATCAATATCATATGTTTATATTTGACGCCAGCCTGCAGGAAACCACCAGGCCGTACAAAATCAACTCTTTACGATAATTCCGTGCCGCAATACTATTTGCTATCTCCGGGAGCATTTCCCGTTACAGTTTTAATAATGTGTAAATCATAGCTAATGTAAACTGCATTTATCAAATAAAATTCATCTCCAGTATACGTATCAGACTGGATTATCCCAATGTAAAACATGCGTGCGATGCTTTTTGAGATTACTTCATAATTATTATATAGTAAATTATCTACCGTGAAAAAAAAAATGAACAAAATTTCAAATCATACTTAACGTTAGCGTTAGTGCACCAAATGGTGTGAATTACCCAACTTGACGCCCAAATGCATTAAGATTATCATATGAAATTTAAATCTTAAGAACCTAAAACTATATAAAGGAATAAATTTAACCTTTTCTCTTCATTTCATGTGTGACATGCTTAAAGTTTATTAATAAGCAAAGAACCAATTTCTGTTTGCATATGAGTGCCGCCAAGTTAAAACCTGCAAATTTATCTAAGATTCGCAGATTTTCTCTTGGCGACACTCATGTCAATAGAAATCAGGCAGATCGACATTTTAAACCAAATCTATACCTAAACTTTCACAGCTCGAATATCGATGAATTTTGATGATTCAATAGTCAAAATAAAGCTTAGAACTTTGAATATTAAATCATCAAGTTAGCTTCCAAATTCATTGAGATATGAGTTGTGAAAATTGAGGTATAGTTTTTTTAAAAAATGTTAATCAGTCCGATTTCCGTTGACACCAGCCCATATGATTCATTAAAATACCTCGAATATGAATGTTTCACAAAGAACCATCTCACATATTTCATGACAATGCATCCTGTAACATTTAAAAAAAGGGCTATCGTGTCTAATTTTACGTTTTTAACTGTAAAAGTTAAATTTCAAATTTTTTTTAAAAAAATTATGGATATACTAATTTCTGATGAAAAAATTTTGGATGAACCAATTTCTGAAAGTGAATCAATTTCTAAGGATGAACGTCGAGTTCAACATATCCGATTTAAAATAATGCTTTTAAACGAGCATTATAAATCATACAAGAACAATTTAAGAACGCTAAAAGTTTCAAAAAACCTTCGAATTATAGGATCGTTACCGGCCAAATTTGAATGTGATCATAAATTGGTTTATCAACCAGTTTTGGGTTCATAGATGCACGCACCGTGCAACCATACACTTCGTGCATAAGACTATAACGAATATAATCTGCTTATTTTTTTACATTTATTATCTTTTTTTTTTTTTTACCATACGTACGTACGTACGTACGTAATGTGCAAGAAATCTAAAAACCACAATTATACAATATACTGTACAGACAAAATACAAACATAGAAATCCTAAATTATAAACATCAATAAATACTTTTATTGAAGTCGATAATTTAAGAAATATGAATTTTTAATGTGTTACTTGATTATCAGCTTGGCATAATCTGTCTAGAGATGTGCGAATGCAAGTTTTTTTGCCTTTGCATTAATATAATGCAAGATTATGTCGCATGGTTCATTATGCAATTCTGTATAATTGTCCGAAGGACACTACAGGGTAGAGCAATAGTACACCTGATGTCTCATAGGCAGACATTCGTATGATTGGCAGTTTAAATCAAATTAATTTTACATTATTTATACAGTTTAAAGTACTTT